CAATTAACAAACGGAGACGTAACAATATAAAATCATCTGTGGATATACCAACCAGGTCTGCGTTTTCCAGTTATTTTTTAAGGCTTCTTACATTTCCAATATTTATTGAATCGTGCTATATTTGCCTATTTCTGTATAGTATAGTTATATATTGATTTTTGTTGTCTTCTGCGTCGTAGAGCAAACATGATAACGAACGACAACATATGTCATGGACAAGCGGTAATTTGATTGTTACATACATGAAATGGAATACTCGTAACTTCCACATTTTGTTTTAACGCTTTTCGCATGTTTTCTTAGTTTTTGGTGTCAAATTTCTATAAATTTGTTATACTTTAACTTGCATTTCATATATATGGATGCTATTCCAAAAGACACTTCACAGCCTGATATATTTTGATCATCTACTTTTACTGGCATAGTTTTAACTACATTCACCAGTGTTCACATTCTAACCCTTTTAATGTATAAACAGTAAAAATACGAAGCGTGATTTATTTATCTATCTCTCGATCAATCAGATCGGTGTTTCTTTGTTTCCAGATAAGATTACACACTTTCAGGGTTTAGAAAAATGATAGATTGCAGTTAGAAAAACATTTTCTGCCTTCGACGCCTGTTGTAAATACAAGAGTGGAGATAACGTTGTATCGTTATCAACCGAAGGAATTGTGCCCGTATTGTTAACTGCCTGAACAAGTAGTTGTGATTTTTTTTTAAATCAAGTACAGTCATTTGCCGTACTTATACATATGATACATACAGTACTGTTGTTTCACTTGAAAGTGCTTACTGTTTTTTTTTTTTACCACAATAACTTTTAGGGTGATAATACTTAGTAGAGAACCTTCCTTTGAAAATTTTAGCAAAAATTTCATATTGGAGTACTAAGCCTAAATATAGTTTTATTATAAATCCCAAGTATAGAGGCAATAAACTTTAATATTTTCTGAAAGTGATAAGCCGCTTAACTTAAACGCTTATATGTCCTTGTAATTAAAAAATGAAGTATAGTGCGTGACTTATCACAGCTTTCATTATATGAAAACATTTGAGAGAAAGACGGAAACCAACCAACAATATACGAGTGAAAAGCAAGTACAAAGAAAAACCAAACTAGATACTCTAAATAGGGGGAAGAAAAGTTAAGATAATGAATGAGTGATAAGAGTAAGTGATTATCACAAGAAAGGCAGATAGACATTTACTTAAGACATATTTAAAAAGGTAGTGAGACAATAAATGAATATCTATATAACCGAAAGGAGTTTGATTCATAAACAGCAGAAAATGTTTGTACTTGTTTGTATGTAAAATACAGTAAATTATATTTAAACACTTCGAAACTTAAGATTTATAATTTAGTATATTTTAGTGTTTGCGGTAAAGGTTACTAATAAAGTAATTAAATTCTTGTAAAGGTTACCAATAAAGTAATTAAATTCTTGTAAAGGTTACCAATAAAGTAATTAAATTCTTGTAAAGGTTAAACGTTTTTCGAAGGACTGTAAGGCTTTCACGATAGGGTACGACATTGCTCATAGTCGCGATTTTAGCTAAACAGAAAACAACAAAAATCTATTTTCCAGAAATTAAGTATGATGAGCTCTCCAACTTGATGAAAAGTGGTCAAGTGACATTGGTTGACGTCAGAGAGCCAAGTGAACTGCAGACTGATGGAAAAATTCCAGGATCAATTAATGTTCCAGGTAAGTTCCTTTTTTTGACAAGCTTTGTTTTAATGTATCACTCACTAGTGGTGTTTCTCAACTATAGCTAGTCATTTCTTGAGTTTTTTTTTTTATATATTAATGCTAGAGAAACTTCAAGAAAGAGTATAGGCGCTTCAGGAGTAAACTTTGAAGAGAATCACGGTAGTGGTTAGAGCAAATGTGTGGGGAACTTGTAAGTGCTTTGTTATTACTGTTAAGTAATTCGTTGTATGTATCTTGTATAAGACATAACTAAGGATAGTGGACCGAGTTTGGCCTAATTGTTAACGTACCGGTTTACGGATTAGAGAGTTTAAGGCTCGAACTGCGATATGCGCATGAACAAGGGCAAGTTTTTGTTATGGGTCTGTTGAACTAGAACAAGAAACTAAACCTGCAATATAATTATTTATTTTCAGTGCAGTACGAGTCCCCTCACAAACTAAAATAAAATGAAAATTCTAAATTAAAAACAATCTCCGGAAGGTAAAGTAAAATGTAGTGGGCACTGCACAGATAGCCCTTGGTTTAGCTTTGTGCTTAATAACAAAGAACGACTCTAGAAAGTTATTTAAGCTGTGTATATGTGGTTATAACCGTAACAGTCAATCCCCTTGTTCAATCATAATTAGTCGTTTAGACGAAGTGTGCAGCTTACCGATTGCCTCGTTGTGGTTAGCATTTCTTGCCTGAAGCTTGGGGTCTCTGACCTGACCGTACCGCCTACGCGTGTCTTAAGAAGCTGCTTAGGTTGAAATACACCGAATGAGTTTGGAAATAAATTTGACTATGTGTCATATAATTTTGAAATAAATGGAACTTAAGAAGGTTCCATTAGAGTATGGAGCTTGTGCTAGTGTGTTTGATACACTTTACTTGATTTATCCATTTGTTATAAATTATTAAGCTTTATTCTCAGATAAACGTGTGCCATCTACCCCTCGCTAAACATAAAACCGTCCAGTTTGAAGCTCTGTACGCAATAATAGTTACATGCGAATAATTGCCTCTATAAAACAACAACAACCACAACAAATGTAAAATAATTCTAACAATTTTGGGGTAACAAGCAAATCCCTTTGATGTTTGGAGAACTATTAAGTGGGTATTTAAAACTACAAATGCTATAATTTTCGTCTTTTTTGTGATACATCACTCATCGAAATATGGCTTTGACTGTCTGATACCGGTATATCAATTGTCGTAACAATAGGTTAATGAGAATTAATCAGGATGTCTAATTTGGTTAACAAAGTATATCTGTATATATCTATCTGTCTGTATATATAATAACCAAATGTCTGTTTCTCTGACATGCTCTATATCTCCTGAACGGTTAATCGTAGGAAAAAAAATGTATTAAAATGCTTCTTTTCAAGGATGCATTACAGGAAAATTATTCATTTGTTTTGCAGTTCCTAAACTTTTATATCGATATCAACATTGATACGTTAGTCTTCGTATGTGCGGACGGTCAATCTGTGAGAAAAAAACTTATTATGAACAAAAATATTTCTTTCTTTGAGGGAATTTCACGAAATAAAAAACGGGACTTCTTCCGTCGATTGATTGAAAGAAATAATTCAGAGAAAAGAGTATGATAGAAAAAAACGCATAAAGAGAGGAACTTTATATATATATTTGATGTTGGTATTATATACATGCATGATTTTATTGCACCATGTTGAATAAATTGATTTTAATTGGATTGCATATCTCCCGTTTGACACTTCTTATAGAAACGACAACTATCAAAAAGCGCTCACTTCGGTAGCAGTCTTTTCTTGCACCTAGTAAAATGACAAGGAACGGTGGCATCGAGCAGAGAAAATTCTCATCCAAACATTTTTACCAATAATGCATTTCAGTTAGTCTCCTTTGCTTAAAAACAAACGCAATGCAATTTTCCTTGTTGAAATAACGCATGGAATGACAAAATACTGTTGTAAATGGCCCACTAGATAATAATATTGTATATATGCCATGATCGAAGGCATTGGATTGACTGCACATATTTTATTTATTCATCACTATTTTTTAGGAAATTTACTGATGAATTGTTTCAATGGGAATCTGCTAGTTAACTATAATATGAACTTTTAATGGGAAAAGTATAGAAGTATTGCATATGTTTGTGAATAGCATATCGTTGATAATATGTTAATTAACAATGCGTGAACGACAGAACATTTATAAGCGATGTACCAAAAAGTAGAGAACAAAAGAAAGAAATAGTAACTGTATATCACGTCTTTCTCCTAGTTTCTCAGGTAGAGAAGGCACTTCAGCTTCCTCCTGCCGCATTTAAAGCCAACTATGATCGCTCCCTACCGGACAAAACCGATGACAAAATCGTATTTCATTGCCGTGCTGGAATGAGAGCATGCCAAGCCACAGAGGTTGCCAGAAAACTGGGTTTTACAAGGTATCATAGTGATATATTCATACTTTAATTTACCTATTGAATTTTAGTCTGTTGATTACCAAAATCTGTGACGTGGAGGCTTAATGCATTTTTGATTCACCACGGCAAATTAAAGAATGCATTAGGCCTCTGTGTCACAGATTCTATTTTCAATTTTATCTTTGTTGAAAATAAAATATATATATGTAATCTGACTAAATAAAGAACAATATATATGTCAGTTAGTTCGTGTGCTTATGCACGTAAGCTCACATGGAAACCCAATATTCCTATTGGCTAGTTGTAGAGTGGTACTTTTACGTTTATACAAATGCAAAACTACGACATTTATAACATTAGCTTTAAGGAAAGTAATATAAACAAACGCGTAAAGAAACACATTAAGTTAATTATTTACCTTTCTGTGGTTTATGAATAGCACAATACCATTACATCTCACTAAAATTACAACAAGCGCCTAAAAAATCAACAATTAGGCGGCAAGTTTAAATACACTTCCGTATGCAAATCACGAGTCTCAGAGTACCTGACCCTCCCAGGTCACAAAGACCTAAATTCCTATTAGGAGAGAGGAGCGAACGAGTTTACCCACTATATATATAATTTACGGCAATTAGCCAGCCCCCCCCCAGTGGCACAGCGGTATGTCTGCGGACTTACAACGCTAGAAACCGGGTTTCGATACCCGTGGTGGGCAGAGCACAGATAGCCCTTGTGTAGCTTTGTGCAAAATTAAAAACAAACAAACAAGCAATTAGCCATAATAGTCACTGCTACAACGTTGTGCGAAAGAAAATAATTACAGGCTTCAGATGACATACAAATGTGATTTAGACTCTTATACAGACAAGAAATTTACAAACACAAAACAAGCATGACGACATTTGATTTTTTACATTTCTTGATATCATAATTTTAAAAATCCACTATTTTAAAACGTCGCTTTATTAAGAGTTTTTAGTCAAAGATTGCGATTATACACAAAGAGAAGATGTTTATACAAACATTTTGCGTTCCTTATTATCAACTATAATGATTAGCGTGCCGGACTGTGGAGCTGAGGTTTTGTGGTTCTTGTCCCGTTGCCGCCAAAAAAAAAAACCATTAAATAATGGCGCTTCACACTTTGGGGCCGTGGATGAAGTATAAAAGTGACGATTGAACCCCACTATTCGGCCTAAGAAAAGTAACTCAAGAGTTAACAGTGGTAGTGTTGACTAACTAACCCACCCCTTAGCATATTACTTTAAACTTAGGGAAGACTAATGCAAATAACCTCAATGGTAAGAGATATGACAGATAAAAAGTTACAACGGTTATAAATAGGAACTACCTTGCAATGTAAATGTATTAAATTTGTTTATCCAATGCCAGAGTAATTTTACAATAGAATAATTGTATATGCCCTTCATATATTTAAAAACAAAACAAAACTCGCGGCTCTGCACAAGAAGTTGAACAGATGGTTCATTAAAAAAAAAAAAATTGAAGGAGGTTTGCATGTCTGTACGTTCGTTTCAATGAAGACAGGCAACAACAGTTGTATAACTTTATAATACTCCTACAATATTCGTTTATGTACTTCTTTATCAAGACTGTGTTTTTATTTTTTACTTACAGTGCCCGTGTGTATAAAGGTAGTTTTCAAGACTGGCAAGCTAACGGTGGAAAGATCGAGAAGCAGTGAACGTACGACTTCTGCTGGCTGGAAGGGAACTTGTCTGTCAGATGAAAATACTGACCAAAAATACCAAAATTACAAGTCTACATATATTTGTATACATTTTAAGAATACATTTTTACTAGTAGTAACCAATTGTGTTACAGGGTAGCTAGACATTTCATGAACGATTTTTTTTAAATTTTAGTTTCTTGTAATGTCAAAAATAAACTGTGATATTATCAGTAATTTCTGTGATTATTTTGTTTGTAGTTAATCACAAAGCTTCACAATGGGCTATCCGGTTTCTAGCGTTGTAAGTCCCCAAACATACCGCGTAATTAATAAGGTATATATATGGGCAATATGCGGTACGCACGTAGTCAGTTGGATTATTTTAACGTTTGTTTTAGATCAAAGTCCCATTGTGTTAACTGCTGTCTCCATCGCGGGAAATCGAACCCCGGATCTTAGCGTTGTAAGTTCGTAGATTTTATACCGCTGTGCTACTGGGAGACTTCTGTGAATATAAAAATGAAGTTATCCAATGAAACAAGTTATGTAATTGTCAAAATGTATATTTTGTTATAGTTATTAAACTGTTTGTTATTGAAGACGGCTATTTAAACTTTAAATTAAATCGATAAAGGGAGATATTTTGTTAACTAAACATCTCGTATATAAAAATGAAGAGGATAGTTGAAAATACAAGCACATAAGTTCATAGAATTACAAATGTAGTTTTTACCAGTTGACGTTGTAGTTGCTCGACATGCTTCGGGAACTAGAACTAGCTTGCTGGTTCTTCTGAATGACAATAAAGTTAATTCAAAGAAGATAATAATAATAATAAAGCAATAATTACTATCAAAACATAGTAAAAATAAGTAATTGATATATTATTGATCCTAACCCAAAAAATATTATTTATAAGTATATACAATTGATAATAATTACAATTCACTTATTTAATCTAGTTCGTGAAAAATGATATAATAGCACCTAGACCACCACCATCTCAGTCGTACTCCAGCTGGTTTGATGACCCCTGGCTTTAAGCGAAAAGCTTCGTCGGCACATATTATAACACTTTACTTTCACTAATAATTTCTTAGAATCTGTAATAATTAAATAGAACATCTGGGGTTTGAAATTGCCGCTGTTTACCAGTAATTATTCGATAAAGTTCATTATTATTTTTTTTTATCATAGATCCTTTCAAAAACAGATCTTAGTGTGCTGATTTTTGTTGTAGATATTTTGTCGCCATGGGAACCTCGATGATAGTCTTTCTTTATGCACTACTTGTAGAGTTTCGATCAGTTATCATAATGTATATACTTTTAAGTCACGTCAGTTAAGTACTATATGTGTTGCTATGACAACTTTGTTGATATCCTAGAAGACTTTCAATCCAACGGTAATTTAGTCGTTCCGACAGCACGGAAACGTCATGCTAAGTAACATGTTTGCTTGGGGAGAGTGATCTTTTAATGGACATCATATATATAATTTTATGTGTCGTTTTAGACTTTATTGAAAGCAACAAAACCCTGAATCACAGATTTGGAGAAATCCATTCCTTCTATGACTCTATATAAATAATGCGAATTTTTATGTTAAACCTCAAGGTTTGAAAGAGTTACCGGTGAAAAGAACAGATTTATTTGAGTACAACGTTTCTTTTATAACAGTGAGACGAATCTCAAAGTATAAGTGAATTAATCAAATAATCGTGTTTCCCTCAGTGGACAACGGTAAATCTACGGACTAACAGCGATAAAATCTGTGGCTCTGTTCCCCGCGATGGACACAGTAGATAGCCCAATGTGGCTTTGCTCTGAAAAAGAAAATTTTGTTTAGGATGATAGTAGCCTTATCTGTGTTTTTTTTTAAATTTAAATAACAATACAAATATAACGGTACTCCTGATGTTTTATTTGTTAGGTTTTAATTCTCCTTTTCTTGATGCTTCTAAAATTTTCTCGTGTTTGGGTTTTCGTTATATTTATTATTTGTTGTTTTTCAATCATACATTCATTTACGTTAGACTCTTTTTGTTTTTCGAGATCATCTAGTCAACTGTTTTTCCTATATATAAACTTTCACACACTAAACATTATACATGGTGTGCCTTTACCATATTTTTAATCAGAATATAACTTCGGCCGATGCTTCTAATACTCGTTTTTGGTATAGTTATGATTTTAGTATTTACGTTTAATTTTTTTTTTACTTAATTCGTACCATAAACTAATTAATATTCCATAAATAGTATTGATCCATAAGTGCATCTGTTTTCTTACCACCAGAAGCAGTTTCACAAAATTTGTGTACATACGATAATTAAGTGGGTTTCTCTTTAAAACAAAATATGCTGGTATATTATCAACAATAAGATAAACATAACAGCACGTAAAAGTAGCTTTATAACGCGTTAATGAAATCAATCTAATGTAATCAATTAACTATAGCTGCTTAACATCAGAAATCAATTCACAAGAAAACTTAAAACCCCGGATTTTAAAGTATGTTAAGCTATCAGTTGGACCCTTTTATTATGAACATTTTTGCACGTCGGCTTGTACTAAGTACCTCGTTATTTATATTCTCAAAGCCCATATAAACATACTGTAGTAAGTTTTTTATACTAATGATATATGGTTTTTAAGGTCTTCCTTAAATAAAAAAGATAAATCGATTATAAAAATTTTGATATTTCATAAAATTTTACTTCGTTCCTGGGAATCCAAAATTCCTGGTTGAGAAAGGTTTAATGATATTTTAGTCCGTAATTCCAATAACATCCCACGAGGTTTGGCCACTGCAGCAGGTTAAGTTAGTCCTAAGTTCATATTCTAAGTGAAGAACATAAAAGGGTCTTCATAAATGTAAAATTTTAAAATGTTAAATATTATTATAAACATTATAACCAGCAGTATTAACGTAACTAACCAAGAAAAATATTCCCGTAAAACTAAAAAAATCTACAAAGGTGTCCTAAATAATTTAACCAATAATATCATAGATAATAACTATAAATAGAAAAAAAGTATGTTATTACTTTCACAGTATATAAAAAGTCAGGCAATTACTACCACACAGCCAAACAACAAAAATGTAACAAAATCATACTACTTAAACAACAACAATGGAAACTGTCCTCAAAACCCGTATGGTCAACTCCAATTGATCTTTTTGTTGGCCAGGTGGTTATAGTTGTCGGGCCTAAGGATCAAGACGTGTTTCTGGTGAATTAGCTCTACACTTTCGACACCCTGTTATTGGGTCCAAAGAGCCGGACAAAACCCTGTCTAACTGCCTTCCTTCTGGACAGTACTTCAAAATATACCTGAATCCTAGAGGACACACGGCCATGGGTGTCGTTCAGGTTGAAAAATTCCAGTTCCGTTCTAATTGGTTTGACACAAAGACAAATGTTCTCTAATACTGTGGTTCTCAACTAAGGACCACCAAGTTCTGGTCCCAAGATTTGACGAACCGCCGTTATCAACCGAGGACCAGCTAGTGCTAGTCCAAATATTTCACGGACAGCTTCGTACAATATTAACTTATTAAAAGTACTCTTATATAACGTTGTACAACAATATACTTCAGTAACTATATTTTAAAATACCTTTTTTTTTTAAAAAAAAACCTATTTTCGGCCCGGCTGAAATCTCCTTGTTGATCGGCGGTTACATCACAGTTTACAAAAAAATTATAGAAATGGCTTAAAAACTTCTGAGAATGTTTTATTTTACTTTGTAAGGGAGATGTGTCATAGCCAGGGAACAGGGTAACTAAAGAAAGTGTGTTATCAGCATTATCTGGAGAGTGGCTATCAGTTCACTACATCAGGATCGAATCCAGGCTTAGAGAGTGGATATCAGTTCACTAAATCAGGATCGAATCCAGGCTTAGAGAGTGGATATCAGTTCACTAACTCAGGATCGAATCCAGGCTTCGAGGGTGGATATCAGTTCCCTAAATCAGGATCGAATCCAGGCTTAGAGGGTGGATATCAGTTCACTACATCAGGATCGAATCCAAGCTTAGAGGGTGGATATCAGTTCATCACATCAGGATCGAATGCAGGCTTAGAGGGTGGATATCAGTTCATCACATCAGGATCGAATGCAGGCTTAGAGGGTGGCTATTAGTGTTGGGTTATCACATTTGTCAAATTTCATCGTTCTTCTTTGAAACAAAATTTTACAATATTAAATCTATAATTGTTATTCTGTAGCACGTGTTTAAATGTCAGGAATATAATATTTTATGATAACTAGTCGAAATATTTTATGATTATAAGAGGCCTGGTGTAGCCTAGTGATGAGCTGTTTATTGGAAAGTTTGAGGTGCGATGTCGCCGAATGGGGTCCGTATTTTCAGCTAGGCGCATTACAAAAGTAACTGTCAAAAACAACTATTTATTTCCAGGAACTCTTGTGGTTAATAACTGACAATAAACAACGGCTATACCTGAACTCAAGGTGTCAGTGACGTAACCGTTTAGCCAATGTGCAAATAGAATGCCGTTCGTGTTGAAAATAAAAAAATTAATAATAGGATAGAAATAATCCAAGACGTTAAAGTGTAATGGAGCGAGGAGTAACATAAAAGTAAACATTTTGTTTCTTTCTGTGTTGTTAAGTTCAGTTGATAAAAGTTAAACCGCTATTTATTGAAGCTCAGTGCTACTTTAATGTCTTCTGTTGTAATGATTTTGTAAGTAATCTTACGTATATTATAACACCCAGTAGGTCTACATTGTGCTAGTGATCGTGGAATAGAATTATACATACTTATATACATATACGTGCATGTTCTTTGTTACATAGCTATGTACATGCCCAGGTGGTTAGGGCGCTTGACTCGCAATCTGAGGGTCGTGGGTTCGAATCCCCGTCACACCAAACATGCTCGCCCTTTCAGCCGTGGGGGCGTTATAATGTGACGGTCAATCCCACTATTCGTTGGTAAAACGAGTAGCCCAAGAGTTGGCGGTGGGTGTTGATGACTAGCTGCCTTCCCTCTAGTCTTACACTACTAAATTAGGGACGGCTAGCGCAGATAGCCCTCATGTAGCTTTGCGCGAAATTCAAAACAAAACAAACCATAGCTATGCAATCAATTATCTGACCTGTTCGCCACTTGAATAATTATGAAGACGTTGCCATTGACTACAGAATAATTTAAACTTGCTGGTTATATCAGAAGTGATTTGTGTTTAGTGTAATTATACT